TCTGTTCCCAAATCTCATTTCATTACCCCTGCTCTCCACCCCAACAACCTGTAGCCCACGAATCTCCCCTCCACTGCTATCATCTCATCTCCCTACTATTGCTCTCTTTTCACCTCCCCCAAAATGGTCTCTTCCACTCCTCCTTCTCATTATCCACTCCTCCCATTTCCAAAAATCAATCCATTTCACTATATCCCTCTGCCCCCAAATACACCCCACCCAAACACAAATTTTTTTTTTGTATATCGTCGTCCTCACCTGCTTCCCTCAACCCCTCCTAATGACACCCACCCACCTCCTCCTATAACTCCACTCGCTCCACTGACCCCAAAAACCTCCCACTAGGATTATTTTCTCAACGGCTCCTGCACATTTCCGCTCCCATGGCCACCGTTCTCAACCCTGTCTCCTCCTCCTACCCGGCGGGGACATCTCCCCTATAATCCTGGCCCCTACACCTCCCTCCTCCCGCTCATCACCCTCCCACCTCCACGTCCTAACTGCCAACCCCCACAACTTAGTATCTGTCCCCCTGCTTCCCCCTAAAATCATCTCCCCCACCATTTTCATGTGGCAATCCTGAACGCCCGGTCAGTGTGCAACAAGCGTACCGCCATCCACGACCTCTTTGTTTCCCCCGCTCCTTCAAACCCTCCCTGCTATCACGGAAACCTGGATCCAGCCCACTGACTCTACCTCCCCTGCTGCAACTCTCCTACGGAGGTCTCACCCAGGACCCTACAACTCACCCCAGGCCTAACAAGGGCGGCGGTTGTAAAAAGGTGGTGGGTTGGGTCTGCTCCTGTCACCGCAGAGCTAACCTTCCGAGTCCTCCCAAACCACCCCCCCATCCCTATCCTTCTCCCTCCTTCGAAGGCCCACAGCCTCCGACTATTCTCTCTCCCCAACCCCCCTGAAGATTGCTGTGATATACCGGCCATCCTGGATCCCATACCCCCGCTTCTCCTGTATGACTTCTCCTCATTCCTCCCTGCTACGCCCTAACTCTTCCTCTCCCTGAGCTTACCCACCATAAATTCTAAGGGGATTTTCAACATACCCTGTCTACCTCGACAACCCGGACAACTGCCCGTCTCCTCCACCTAACCTCCTCCTGTTGCACTTGCACAGTGCATACAATCCTACCACCCATCACCAACGGAAATATGCCTGGACCTTTGTCTTCTCTTCCAACCGCTGGCGCCTCGTCCCACAACCGTCACAAACCACCCCCCGTCCCTCCTCTCTTACCACAACCTGATTACCTTCCTCTATCTCCTCGTCCGACCAACGCCTACCCCTCCAAATGTCCACACTCTAACAGTCCCTAACCCTCCGCAACCTAACACCCTGCCTCCCTCCACTCTGCAGCTGAATCAACTCCACGACCCGCATCCTCCCCCTGTTCTGCCCCGACTTGGCTATTTGACCGCCTACAACAATGCGCTCTCAACAGCCCTTGACTCACTAGCGCCTTTAACCACAATCGCACAACATCAGACCCCGACCGCTCCAGCCCTGGCAGAAACCACTGATCACACCAAAACCCTCAAACGACAAAGTCTGCCCTGGAGCGACTAATGGCGCAAAAACCAAATCCCAACAAGCCCTTCCACCCCGGCTATAAATCTGCCTTCCGCACCTACACCTCCTCCCTCCATGCTGCCAAACAGCCTACTTCTTGACCCTCATCAGGCCTCTCCTCCACCAATCCTCGCCGACTCTTCTCTGCCTTCAACTCTCTACTCTCTCCACCCCCACCTCCACCCAGCACCTCACTCACTGCCCTTGATATTGCCAATCCACTTCAAAACAAAAATGAACAATTAACAAATTCGCAAGGACATTGCCGCAACTCACACACCCTCTCAACCTGTCCCCTCTCACACAGCTACCCCCTATCCCCCCCCACCCCCTCAACATAACCCGCAGGGACTTCGTCGCTGCTCAAACTCTCTCCTCCCCCCTTCACCCTCACTCAGCTACCCCCACCCACCCCTCTCCCCACAACCCCCAAACCCTGCTCTGACCCCTCCTCTTCCACCCCCCCTACATTCCTGCATACTGAAGCTCCCCCCCACACTCCGCACCTTTTGACCTTACTACCATCGAGGAAGTCTCCAAGATCCTCTCAGATGCCCGCCTCACCACCTGCCCCTCGACCCTATCCCCCTCACAACTCCTACGACCTTCCTCCTCCTCCATCCTACGCTCCCTCACCCACATCTTCAATCTCTCCCTCTCCTGAGGCACTTTCCCCTCCCCTCTGAAACATGCACACATCACTCCCATACTTAAAAAGCCCTCCCTGGACCCCAATGACCCGAAACAACCTCAGACCCATCTCCCTGCTCCCATTTACATCTAAACTCCTCGAGCGCCTAGTCTACGCCCGCCTATGCTCTCACCTCAACGACAACAACCTCCTCGATCCCCTACAGTCCCGGCTTCCGTCCCTACACTCCACCGAAACTGCCTTACTCAAACTCTCCAATGACCTTCTAACCGCCAAAGCTAATGGCCACTATTCAGTGCTCCTACTCCTTGACCTCTCTGCGGCCTTCGACACAGTCGACCACCCCCTCCTCCTCAAAAAACTACACTCCCTCGGCCTCAGAGATTCTGCTCTCTACCTGGCTCTCATCCTACCTGTCACAACGCTCCTTCAGCGTTACCTATAATGCTACCACCTCCCCCTCACTCCCCCTCTCTGTTGGGGTCCCTCAAGGTTCTGTCCTCGGGCCCCTTCTCTTCTCCATCTATACCTCCTCCCTTGGCCAACTCATACACTCTCACGGCTTCAACTACCACCTCTATGCCGACGACACACAAATCTATCTCTCAACCCCCCACCTCACCCCCTTGGTCTCAGCCCGAATCACACACCTACTGAGCGACATATCAAACTGGATGTCGCTCCACTTCCTTAAATTGAACCTCTCCAAAACCGAGTTTCTTGTCTTCCCCCCCAGCCCGGACACCACCCCCCATTGATTTCTCCGTCACATCCAACAACTCCACCATCAAACCCGCCCTGCAGGCCAGAGTACTGGGTGTCATTCTGGACTCCAACCTATCCTTCCAGCCCCAAGTCCAATCTTTAACAAACTCGTGCAGACTCCACCTCCGCAACATCGCCAAAATCCGCACATTCCTAACCCCAGAAACCACTAAACAGCTCATCCACTCCCTCATCATATCACGACTCGACTACTGCAACTCCCTCCTCACTGGCCTGCCTCGCCGCTGGCTATCCCCGCTTCAGTCGATCCTGAATACGGCTGCCAGACTCATTCACCTTTCCAACCGCTCTGTCTCCGCCACCCCCCTCTGCCAATCCCTCCACTGGCTTCCGATTGCGCAACGGATCAAATTCAAAATCCTAACGCTGACGTACAAAGCCGTCCACCATACTGCCCCGAACTACATCACCGACCTAATATCCAAGTACCACCCAACACGCACACTCCGCTCCTCACAAGACCTCCTTCTCTCTAGTTCCCTGGTCTCCTCCTCCCATGCCCGCCTCCAGGACTTCTCCAGGGTGTCTCCCATCCTCTGGAACTCCCTGCCCCAACCCATCAGATTATCACCTAGTCTCCTCTCCTTTAGGCGCACCCTGAAAACCCATCTCTTCAGGGAAGCCTACCCCACCCCCTGCTAACTTGCCGACCTCCTCCACTCTTCCTACCACTCCATCCCCCACAGCTATCTCCTCCTGTGCCGCCCCCCCCTCCCTCCTAGATTGTAAGCTCGAAAGAGCAGGGCCCTTGATCCCCTCATGTTTTGCATTGTATTGGTATTGTTCTGTCACATGTTCTGTCCCCCTTTGTAATGTACAGCGCTGAGCAAACTATTGGCGCTTTATAAATACTGTATAATAATAATAATAATTATTATTTTTTTTTTTTTTTTTACATACTATCACCCTAGCAGTACAGTGTCTACTTGTGGGGGGTGATGAAGATTTATTTTTTTTTACACTGATTGCTTTTACACCCATATAGGATGTAAAAGCAATCATTTCTTCTTCTCTCTGTCTGCATTCTTGCAGCCATTGAGAACTACTGAGTGAGCTGTGATTGGTCATAGCTTGTCACATGGTACAAGGCTATTGTGAATAGCCTTGTACCATGTGACCTCTGTGATCATTCACAGATTTCACACGTAGTAAGCAATGATGTCACAAGTGACATCTTGCTTACTACTTTGCATGTGATCACTGATTGGCCAATCAGTGATCACATGATCGGGACCTCGTACAGAGGTCCCGTCCGACGATCGCTGTTTCACTGTGCCCGGAGGACACAGCGGGCACCGGATCGCGATGCTGCGCGCTCCCAGGGAGCGCGCACAAGCAGGGTGCGGGAAGGCCATTTATAAAAGGCCACCTGACCCTGCAGTGCCACTGTCTGGCCGTTTATATACAACGGCCGGACGGGAGTGGTGGTTAAACAGGAGCAATTTCTTATACTTATGAAAAATTGTGTATATAATCCTAAATTCATGTCCATAGTACAGACACCTCTGGGAATCCTATACTGCCAGAATTTTGACAAGTAGTAAAATATCTATTAGTAAAATAGTCCTCTTACATAATTATTTTATACTTTCTATTGTCAAGAAAAATTAAATTAATTTCAATAATAAAAATTATTTGATAAAATGTAGAATATCGATAAATCTGTGTTCATAATTTTTGGCAGAAACAAATTAATAGAAATGAAGCATTATTAAAAGCCAACCTGTGCATATGTACCTTTAAACATTCAATATTCGCATTGTCATTACTCTATAAAACCAATAAGTGTGTTTCTTTCTTTCACAAAAATCTTTTTACAAGCATGCTGACCACAAAGTGTTGAGTTTTAAAATATATTTATTATATTATTTGTTTAATTTATACATGGTTAGTTACACATTTGGCAGTCATGTTTAAGCAACAAAGTAGGAACAGTATGGCAGACATTGAGGTAAACACGTAGAGGGGTTTGAACTAGTCATTGTGTCCCAATACCACCTGCTAGAGCGTCCACGATAAACTGCAAGGTGCGTTGGTAAATGAATGAGTCCTTACTTTTTGGCTTACAAATATTAAGATGGTTAACGTCTACGGGAATGAGATCACCGATGCCTAAATCTAAACAAATGAAGAAAAAAAGTTAATTTATAAATTTACAGGAGTAATTATGAATGTTTGTAAATAGATTAGTAGAGTATATTATATTTCTAAAAGCATTACTATGCATAGTTAAATGTACTAGTTTACTTGTTAAAATATTATTCAAAAGCTAAGACTATACATAGGTAGAATTCCTATCTGATAGGCACTGGAATAATAAAACACACACACTGACAGCTTTGTTGTTACAGGGAATCTTTTGTCTTGGGCCCTTGGGAACATCCATCGAAACCTCAAAGGGGTGAATGAAGAATTCAGTAGGGTAAGCATGATTTTTGCCTTTTTTTATAGAAATGTTAGTAAGGATTGCTGGTTAGAGCAGGGTGATGGCTTCAACCTTACCTTTACTAAGCAAAACCCATTTTCCATGCCCATGTATGGCCCCAGGCCCACCCTGTCTGCATAGGCTGGATTTCTCTGATTTCTGATATAAAACACCATTCCAGAGCTCACACCATCATCACAAATAACCAATAAGAGTGCTTTAGGAGTCACTTATAGAGTTCTCATTTGATATTAGAATGCTGGGTGGGCTTATCACTCAAGTTAGAGAAGTCAAATGACTACTGGGATAAAATCAGTAACCTGGCATGACATGTAAAGAGTGCAACGTGTTCAATAGGCCAGAGCATAAAAAGAGCAGTATAGCATAATATAAAAATATAAAACAGAATGTATTTGTATCAAGCAAATATATTGAATTGTGTACACTTTAAACTGCAAACTAAACTCGGTTTCTAAAATATTAACACACATTGAGAAGATTTACTTACCTGCTGATTCTACTGGCACTACATGCAATTTCATCATACTGCCTATACGAGTTGGCAATTTTTCTGCAAAACTCACTACTTTGAAGTTCTTATTTTTCACAATTTCGTGGAACTCTTCATTTAGCTGTTTTAGTGCAGGTGAATCTTATATGGAAAAAAAAGTAGAAAAAAAAGTATGACTTTTTATAACATTATAATGCCTAGCATGGTGTTAGTTCCTGGTACTTGCTAGACGGCTAGAGTAAGGATTGGTAAAGTCACTGCTGTGCTGTTTACTATTCCTGCTGAAGAGGAAGGTGTAACTGAGGATGTGCAGTGCAAGGATTTCCTGCTTCTACCTAACTCATTCAGTGGATCTGTGCTTCCTCCTTCATTTCTGTTTCTTGATCGTTACTCATCAGATTACTAGTTAGCAGGGGGCAGCTCTGACATGAGGAAACAAAACCCTGCCTCTAACAAGATGCCCACTTCCACACAGACAAGTGTGGAATAAGGCATGCTGAGTCAGTAATAGGCAAAAGTTCAGTTGCAGAGAGGCCACAGGTATCACTGGTGACTATTCCTTTGTCATCTACTTGCCTTTTTTGGGCACAGCTTTCACAGTTCAGGTCCTCTTTAAGGCACTGATAAGACAAAAGCAAGGGTACCTTTTTTCATTACCCTAAAACTTCTCTATAATAATGTGGCTATAGCATGGTGTATACAGTGCAGTTAAAACATACTTTAACGTTAATTCTAAATGTTGTCTACATTTGCAGCATTTTCTTTTATAAAGAGTCTTATTTCCATGTTATTTCCTTAGTGTGGAATATAACAAGGTATAATCATGCATGCAATAAGGAAGTTTCTGCTTTATGATGATTATCTGCTCATGCTACCTAAACACAACTAAACACCTTGTGCTTTAACTTACCTTTGCTTAGCTCCTTAACCTCTACTGATGGAAACAGCAGCAGCCTTGCATTAACAGAATATTCTGCTAGTCGAGATCCATGATGGGGAACACTAAAGAATGCAATTCCAAGTGTATTCTTCACTAAATCATGCATGTCTTCATCCTTAGAGGCATTTACCAACATTTTTTTCACCAGCAGACCTGCAAACACAAGTCGAACATATATCTTTGTTTCTCTATTTGGACTATGAAGAGGGCCAGTTTGTTACAGAAGGACAGGTGGAAATGTTTGGAAGGGGGTTGGTCAGTAAGGTACAATTTAACCACTAGCCTACAGGGCACTTATACCCCATTCCTGCCCAGGCCAATTTTCAGCTTTCAGCGCTGTCACACTTTTAATGACAATTGCGAGGTCATGCAACACTGTACCCATATGAAATTTTTATCATTTTTTTTTTTTAGATAGATAGAGCGTTCTTTGGTGGTATTTAATCACCTCTGGGTTTTTTATGTTTTGCTAAACAAACCAAAAACCACTGAAAATTTTGAAAAAAAAAAGTTTTTTTTCTTCGTTTTTGTTATACAATTTTGTAAATAAGTGATTATTCTTTCTTTTTTTTCACTGATGTGCGCTAATGAGGCTGCAGTGATGGCACTGATAGGCTGCACTGATGGACACTGATGGGCACTGATGAGGAGGCACTGATGAGCATTGACAGGCATCACTGATGGGCACTGAAAGGCAGCACTCATATATGGCACTGATAGGCGGCACTGACTGGCACTGATGGGCAGCACTGATAGGTGGCACTGATAGGTGACACTGAAAGGCAGCTCAGATGGGCACTGATATGTGGCATTGATGTGCACTGGTAGGCACTGATATGTGGCATTGATAAGGCACTGATGGGCACTGGCAGGTGGCATTGATGGGCACTGACAGCTGGCACTGATGGACACTGACAGGTAGCACTGCTGGGGCTACACTGATCATCAGGGCACATGTCCCCTCTGAGGAATGTCAATTACCTGCTCTCCTCTCGAGCTGTCAGCATGACAGCTCGTGAGGAGAGAAATGCCAATAACCGCATTTCCCTATTTACATGCGATCAGCTGTGATTGGACACAGCTGATCACATGACCGAGCCGACATCTTCGGCTCTTTCTGTTAATCGGTGATTCGCTGTGTCCGAGGGACACAGCGCACAACGATCGCCGCACTGCGCGTCCCAGGCCGCGCATGCGCAGTTAGAATGGGAGGACATCATATGACGCCCTCCCAGAACGAGAGAACCGCCTTGCGCCCGTCATTACCTTATATGGCGGGCAGGAGGCAGTTAATGTAGTCCCCAGACTGCTAATTTTTTTCTTTTTTTGGAGAAAGGAAGAATTTCTTGAAACAGCAGCTCAATTCTAAGGATATATTGGCTGTTATGATTATAATGAGTGAAAGGCCACAGGTTCTTCAACTGTCTATAAACATTTTAGTCCATGTGCTTTGTCCACTGAGCTGATATCTCTAGAAATGGAGGGGGGATGCTTTTTCAGTATAACAGAACTCCAGGAGTTATTTATAATGCATACTCACATTGGTCCATCTTGGCACAATGTAAGTATGCATTAGTCGTACATGACAGACAGCTGGGAAGCTAGAAATCACAGTAGTAGTCAAAGCAACTACAGTGATAGCCACAATCTTCCAGATCCTTCTCAGGTTCTATGTGAGCAGCTGCCCCACTGCACAAGACCACAGGGGAGGGTCACTCCCTCTGCATCCCTACCATTCATAGAACACCTTGTATTTTTTTAAGGGAATACAAGGCATTCTCTGATTGGACAAGTGGAGGGGAGGGGCAGTGTAGCCTGCTGCTATGTGGTACTGTGTCCCAGCAGCAAGGAAGAGACAAATGAGCTTTGCGGCAACAAGCCATGCCTGACAGGTACCCATACAGGTGGTCTGGGCAAGCAGAACGTTAACATAAGTCTCTAGGAGAGAGAGAGACTGTTATGTCTGACTAAAATGTTAATTTTCCCAACAGTTGCTCATTAGTTTTGTTTGCAACTGATTTATTGAGGTTCTTCTTCAAGGTAGGCTCAAATAGAGTATTAGCTTTCTGTCTTTATTTTGTTTACAGGATTTGTAATCCTTACTGACTCTGAGTATAAACACACCTTCATTTTTTCATCTTCATTTCATGGGATTAAGGGAATTTGTAGTTTAAAAAATTTAGTTTGGAAGTAAGACAGCTTCTGTTATGTCGGTTCGATTCACAGGAAATTACAAGGATACTGCACTTCTGGCAAGATCACCAGTTTTTTTTCTGTTCTTGAAGAAAATGTTTGTAGCCTGAAAATGTAAATTAATGCAGCCACCACAATTAAGTACTGGATAGTTTTTTTTGTTCTTTGTTTTGTAAATCCTTTAATGTAAACTAAACTGAACTGAATTTATTCTCTCTTGAGAAAAGGGGATTAAGAAGGGGTATGATCAACATGTATAAATACATAAGTAGTCCATATAGTGTCCTTGGTAGAGGGCTTTTCACCTACACACACTCAAAAGCTGCTTCTAGCAAGCTCAGCAGATTGCTTTTTGAGTTCACTAGATTACATTTGAGTTCACTTAACAGCAAGGAAAACGTATTATCAGTAATTAGCTATAATACAACCCTCAAATATTAGCTACCAAGGCCTTAAATTAGATGTGGCACGTCTCATAATTAAACATCTTCGTTCGTTGTGCATATTCAATACAGTATAAAATCACATTTCTTGACCTAGCATTTCTTCTACGGGCAGCTATTACCATGTTACTTCTTTATTTTTGTTTCACTTTTTTAAGGCTTTGTAAAAATTCAACATTTTATTCAAACACTGTACTTATTCTCTAAAATGTGTTTAAAGAATTCATAGCCTTGAACTTACCTCCCATGCTGTGTGATACCCATATTATTGGTCGTTCCCCAACACCAGCAGTCTTTAATTTGCTAAGAAGTTCAGTACTTCTATAGGCCATAGACTTTCTGCAACAAAAACAAAACTGTTGTGACTCTTAGTGACATGCTAAATGTTTACTTTTTTCCTCACTTTAAAAAACAACCATTTTATCACATTTAATAGTGTTCTACAGCTTTCCTTTAGATAAAAGCATGCTGCTGAAGAACATTTTCTGTTGGTAATATAATCATTTTATGGCTTAACTATACTTTGCTTTTATTATTTTCCTGCGCTTAGTTGAGTTAATAACCAACTGAGGGTCAGGCTAAAGTCAGAGTTGTCATTAAAATGTATTAACGTTTTACTATTTTAATATACATTCTGTTAGCTACTATAAGGCAAAAAGCAAGAAACTCAGAACTCAACGACATAAAAGCGGAAATGTTGGGTTTTGTGACAGAGGATGTCAGCAAAGTTATATCAAAAGAATATAGTGAACAGAACAGAATCTTGTTCAGCCATACGGGTACTGTACCAATGGCTGCATGTGGCTGCCTTGATGTTCATAACTAATGTTCATATTTGTAGCACAAAATAAGGAATCGTGTCTTCTGTGCTTCTATTTGAAGTTTTCCTTAAGCTACTTTAGCCACAAGTTGCACCTAACTTGCACGGCACTGATAGCTGTAAGGTATGGGGACTAGCTAAGCCTTTTTAACATTTGTGGTACCACTCATCGGCTTTAGCTGCTACCTTTCGAGAATATAGTGAAATATGAAACACATCCATAGGGTTCACAGAGATTGCTTGATAAACTAGCAGTAGTCAAAACCAGCCAAGCATAGATGGTACCAAGATATCAAACAGAAATATAGTTAGGAGAGTAAAGCAGGCAATAGATGTCTTAGTTTTTTTCGTTCAACCTATGGGTTGAACCTTGATTGTGTGGATGGGAGAATCCTCCCTATTGTGTCGTTGTATTCTGACAATGGGGAGACTTGCACACTGTTGGAATACAATGATCAGCACTACAGGCTATAGCCTTTAGCGGTGATAGGGCAGCTAAAATATGACATGGTGGTTGTTCAGAAGTTGATCATACTTTAATGTTTCCATGATGTTTTTAAGTCTATCTTTTCTCATTTATGTGTTTCATTATAGAAGTAGCAGGTAATCAAAGTATTGCACTGTATGTTAATTGACAAATTTAGGTTTAATCTCTTTTGTTGAGTTTTCAAAGTTTACAGAAGCAAACAAAACAACATAGAAACCGTGTATCAAAGAAAATGCACTTTCCATCACCAGTACAATACATAAGATACACATAGAATGCTGCTGCATTTAGTAAGAAAAAGAGCATAAACCCACTCTGTGTACCAAGTTAATGGTTTACATCTGGAGGAAAAGAGATTTGCTCTACAAATATGGAAAGGTTACTTCACAGTAAGAGCTGTGAAATTGTGGAATAGACTGCCTCAAGAGTTGGTTCTTGCCAGCTCAGTGGATTGGTGTAAAAAGGGCCTGGATTCTTTCCTAGATACACATAATATAACTGGATACTAACATTTATAGATAAACTTGATCCAGGGAATATCCAATTGCCTCTCGGGGGATCAGGAAGGAATTTTTTCTCCTGCAGGAGCAAATTGGACCATGCTTTGCTGGGTTTTTTGCCTTCCTCTGGATCAGCTGTGGGTATAGGATTATAACTTTTTTTTATGGTTGAACTGGATGGACTTTTGTCTTTTTTCAGCCAGACTAACTATGCAACCACTCTTAAGGGTGTGCACATAGACATAAACACAATGATTTAATAACAACATATAAAAATAACATAGAAACAGTATGAAACAGAAACTAAGTAAATAAAGAGCATCTGCCAATATCCTGAATGGCATGAGTATCAATGTCACCATTTATGTAGTCATAACAGTGGTAACTAGTAAAGTGGCAGATGAAATCTACGTAATCAGTACACAGACATCCAGATCATCAATATGTAAGTAACTTATATAGAAGAGCAAAAAGGTGTGCAGTATGAAGGAAAGGTAAAGTGGGGTAAAGAGGGAAAGAACAAAAAAAAAAAGGGGGGGGGGATAGGGGAGCTTAAGACCTGAGCACTATTGTGGAACAAAGCCAGGGCGACTAGTCTGGTTAAGACTGGCAGACAGTACAGCCCCAGATCATACATAGCAGGTACATTTTGGAGAATGTTAGAAGTCTTTCCAAACTGACCATGTGAGGGTATGTGAGGGTAATCGTCAGTTTTACCTGTTTCCCAGGAGAACAAATTTTCCATCTGGCATTTCACAAGCCCAAACAACAAAAGAGGGAGCAACCGCTTGACGCCAAGCCCTGGCTATCACAGAGACATTTCTTCTTTCTTGGCTCACAGTTGCGGTATCCCACAATCTAAAATTGTTGTTGGACAATAAAATGAATGAAAAAAGTAAAAAAAAAAAAAACAGGCATCAAATCAGGAGGTGGCAGTATGAACCTGAACACCTGGAGTAGAAAAGACCAATCCGAAAACCCCTATTCTACTGAACCTTGGCTTCAAAAGCTATGCCATTAAAACCAGCAACTGTGAAGCAGAATGGTACACGGGTCCTTGGAACAGCAGACTAAATAGTCTTTAAAAGATCTAAAAGCTAGTTATAAATTGCCATTTTCATTTAGTTTGGAATTGGAGCAGGGACACATTGGACACCTTTAGCTGCCATTTGGTGTGCTGGGTTTCTGGTGTGTCCCATGCCCACATGGACCAATTTGATCAGTGCCATGCAAATTCTGGTGCCTCCCTGAGATTGATTTATGTAACTGCCATGGGGTTGTATGACTGCACCTTGACAGAGTAACTCTGAAGCTGGGAGCACCAATGCAGAGGTGATAGGCAAACCATCCTCAGGTCCTGCACATTGATCGGAAGCTGGCCTTCTTTCAACAAACATGCCCTACAACTGAGAGGGAACCCAGGACTCCGCCATAGCCTGCTGAGCTAGCGTTTGTCTTCATACAGTACCTTTCAAGACATTCAAAGAAAGGGTTTCCCTCAGTAAAAGGTTGCAAATACCCCACTCCATGGCTAACTAAATCTTCTTGGTCAGACACGTAGGGAGATCCAGACACTGAAACTATTTGTCCTGCACTGCCAGAATGTTGTATTTAAACACCCTGAAGTGAAATTGGGCACGTGGGGCTGCTTGAAAGGAGGCCACTGTCACGTACCTTACTCGTGAGCCTGACGGCAGAGGAAGGCCTCTCGTACGACTCCGGCTCAAGGGCCACTGAAAGTGGGACAGCAACCACAAGAGCACGGCGGGGAATGAGTGCCTGGTCAGTCCTGTAGTCTGTGCGGGAATTGTTGGCACTTCACTGGCCAGTGGGATGGCTGGATTTGCTGGCAGCAGAGTAGACTGATAGCAGAGCAGGCAGGCAGGCAGTGAAGGGCTGGTAGCAGACTGTATGCAGGGTCAGACAAGCCGGGTCGGTAACTGATAAGCAGATCAGACATGAACAGCAGGCAGAAGAATGGTCGGGTCACAAGCCAGGGTCAGTGATGGTGGGAGCAGATCAAACAGAGTCAGAAGGCAGAGGCGGAGTAGAAAAACAAGCTAGGGTCAATCACGGGTAATCACAGGAACAGGCACAGGAATACAGGAGGGGGAGCTGCAGATCAGACAGCAATTCACTAGTGCAGCTGATGCACCTTTATAGGCCAGTGGGTGCCAGAATTAGCCAATGCACATTTCCGTGCGTGTACGCCACGCATGCGCATATGTGTACGGCCACGCACAACAGTATGAGCACCTGCAGGCCCATGCCTGTGTGTTCGTGTGCGGCTACGAGCCTCAGCTATGCCATGGCCAACATGTCCCTGACAGCCACCATCAAGCCAAAAAATTCTAGGAGGAATTCTACATAGATTTCAGAATCCTCAGCTGCGATTAGAGAAACAGGAGTATTCCTGGGGAAGGAAGACTTGAGACATGGTTTTTCTTGGACTAGACCTAGGTATTCTAAGCTGACATTTTGAAATCCCCAAAAGAATGGATGCAATCACAGACTGGACAGATTCAGTACAAAACTGTACCTGAAGAAACCTGTTGAGGAGCTTCAAAACCAAAATGGGGCAAACGTCTCCAATCTGTTTACGAACAGTAACCAGAGGAACTTGCCCTAAGCCATGCACTAAGCTCAACCAAAGGAGACTGGCAGACCCCCATCACACTGACAGAAGGCTGCATCACCATTCCAACCAAGAAAAAGGGTACCTTAATACGGGGGGTCAGCCACCAGTAGATCGCGGCCAGGTGACTGGTAGATCAGTGCCTAGGCTTGCTGACTTACCATCCCAAAGCATCAGAGTGCAATCCAGAGGGACGACTTGGAAAGTTGGAGCTGTATTAGGGAACAAGAGCTGCATAAGTTGATGCTTCCTCCTCCCTGTAGTGCTGGCTCCTGTCCCCACGCTGAGTGATACCAACTGCACTCCATCTCTTATCCCAGCTAGTGGTCTCCAGAGTGGTGCCAGCAGCAGGAAAGAAGAGATCTTCAGGTCAGTGTGAAGCAATACACTGGGCATAATAGTATAGGGCTGCTTCCACACTGATTGTGGTTACCCACATCGCAAGTGCAGTGCAGTATATCTGCAGCATTCCTGTGGGTCTGCTGCGCTTAGCCATACACTTCTATTATATCCTGCGGGTTTGGTGCATTTTCTGAAAGCGTACCAAAACTCTTGAATGCAGATTTGGTGTGCTTTCAGAAAGTGCACCACATCTGCAAGGACATAATAGAAGTCTATGGCAAAGCACAGCTAACCCATGAAAGTCGCTGAACACACGAACAATGCGGGCATTCGGCAGGCTCCACGCCTCTTCTTCTTGCAGCGCCTCCTGCTGATCGACCAGTATCCCTCTCTGAGCGGTATTCTAAATCTGGCGATAGACGTTCTGCATACTTAACCCTATGAGCCTTTTTTACTTTCACAAGATGTGAGTTGTTAAATTTACCTTTTTTAACAATACACTGTTATACAGTCTACACTTAAAGGCGCTGTGTCTTTGTTTGTCTTCTGTTTCAG